ACCCTGCCCCCCCTCCCCAGTCCTCTTAACGTGTATTGCCGGGCAAGGTCTGTTCTAACTGGGGGCAGGACTTAGGAGTAGAAAGAAACATGCTGTTGTCTTAGCAATGGCCTGTTCTGACTTTTAATAATTCACTATGGCCTATGTATTTTTACCAATACATAGACATATTTTGCTGTGATATTATAAGTAGTCTGTGAAACTTTTCCGTTTCAGGCAAGACATCTTTACATTTGTGATTATCATAAAAACTTAATTCAGACTGTACGAAACAGAAGAAAAAGAAAAGGGAGTGATGATGATGGAGGAGATTCACCTGTTCAAGATATTGATACGCCAGAGGTAGACGGAAGTTCTTGTATGTTAAATGTAAACCCTAAGTAATCCATTCTGAAACTTTTATAAGAGCATATCAACACATTTTTAAATACTTAAAACATTTGAAAAATCTGAAAATGAAAGGAAAATTAAATTTAGCCAGTTAACATGTAGTTACAGACTTCTTTTATTTTCAGTTGATGGTTCTGATATAACTGTTTTCTTATAACTGTTTTTGCCCCCAGTTTTTCATATTTAACCTAAAAAAATTTAAGTGTTTAGTACATGTACAGTTATAAAAGGGTTTCTAAATTATGTAATTAAATTTTTGTGTTGAAATTGAAATGTTACATATATTAAAGATAACTTTTTAATAAATTGAATGAACTAATTCACATATGCTAATTTTTTCTAGGTTGATTTATACCAGTTACAAGTAAATACACTTAGAAGATACAAAAGACACTTCAAACTACCAACCAGACCAGGACTTAATAAAGCACAACTTGTTGAGGTATTTATGAGTTTTAAACTATTTCAACTTCAAATGAACCTCTTCATACAAAAAAGGGTCATTAAATGCTAATGAAATTGTTAGTGTAGTGTGTACAACAATACATTTTAGTTAGAAAGATCAAAGTTAAAAAAAAAATTTATTATGGAAGAATCTAGTTACCCAAAAGTATTTGTTTTCCCCTTAGGAAATTGCTTTATGTAGTGACTGCTCAATGGATTGTGTAGTTTTCTAAGCATTTTCTAATACTAGCTTTGAGTGAGAGTCTTTCATTCTCAATATAGAAATCTGTTGATTTTAAAATTCCATTTTCTTAGTAAACTTTAATTGAACACCTAATTGAAGCACAGTAAAATAAATAAATAAGCTTTGCTGTCTTTATGAGAATTTATTTTTTGAATTTTTTGGTGGAATAAGTCTACAGATAAACCCCTAAACAGTATTGCTATAACTTGCTGATTTAGCTGTTTGAGAATTCGTTGTTGTTGATGTTAGGATGTTTTAAAGCATCTATGTTTTTTTCACATCTAGAAGATGGCAAAGACTTTTATCCAAGCTTTTACTTATAGTTTGTTTGATACAGATTTCAAGTCCTTTATTTAATTGTGAAAAGTTTCTGTGTGTTCTCAGGAAATAACAGAACCAAGAAATCTAGACATCATATTAAGATGTTTATAGATTTATATGCTTTATTAAAAGAAAAACCAGAATAGAATTACAAATATTTCAATCAGTTTTGTCATGTTCTCCATCTTGAATTTAGTAATCTAACATTTTATAAAATGTGTTTATTCAATTAGATAAAAAATGAATAGAAGGTGTGATAATTTGGTTAACTACTTTTCAACATAGTTAAGATCCAATATATTAACTTTTTAGCCAGAATTTCTTCTTTCCTTCTTGCCTAGGCAAGAGAATCTAATTTTGCTCTAAATTTGATTTAAAAGATCGAGTCCTGTTGGGATTGTATAGTACATAAATGTAACATAACTACAGATAATGCCTACCATGGTGAAGCTACATCAATATATACAGATATTAGTCAAGTAGAAGGAACCTTTGTGTTGGAACAAATGAGAACCAAAGAACTGATTATTTTCAATGTCATGTTTAAATGTATATATTTTTCAAATGTATAACTCAAACCAAGTTTTTGATAATTTGATCTTCTTTAAAAAGTTGTTATTCTGTAGTTATTTTCTCTTTTAGAAATGAGAAATAGCCATGAGATTGTTATAGTTTACTTAGAGAGGCAGATATTTATAAGTGATTCCAGAGTTAGATGGCTATCTTCCTTGTTTCTTAATTATAGTGTGAGTAATTTTTTCTTTAAGAATTGTTATTTTCTAGAATCTAGATATGTATATGAGCACCCCAGGTTAGTCTGTTCTACATCTGTTGATAGTTGCAGTGCACATGTTAGATTATCACAGTGAAAAGGCAAGAAAGCAGGTAAACATTCCTCAGTGAGCTTCCCTCTTTCCCTTCATATTTTCCATCCATAATTTTTATTCAGAAAAATAGGGAACCTTAACAAATACTGTCAATGAGTGAATGAATATAAGTTACGTCAAAAATATTTGTAATATATTTCATGATTTGTTTCCATAGTACCAAAACTTTTTTAACTTCATGTTCATCCTCTGTGTGAGTATGGCTTAAACCATTACATGGCTCATGTGGACTCTTACATTCTATTTCACTGATAGTTAAAGTTTAAGAAGTATTTACTTCCCAGTCTTGATTCTAGTTAAGAAAATTTAAAACAAAGAAAATACACATTCTAATTAATGTATATTTAGTTGAGTGGACGACCGTGTCCTTTGAAATCACACTATCTCCAGTTCATAACATCTTATTCTTACATTTTTTCTTATGTTGGTATTTTGTTAACTGCAGTCTACTTTAAAAAGGAAATAGCTCTTATCATCACATAGCACTTTTTCTTTCAATGAAAGTGTTTTGGTTAGTTTATGAAATCTGTTAATATCCATAATTTAATTTCCTCAATTTTTTTTTCTTTATAGATAGTTGGTTGCCACTTTAGGTCTATTCCAGTGAATGAAAAAGACACCTTAACATATTTCATCTACTCAGTGAAGAATGACAAGAACAAGTCAGATCTCAAGGTTGATAGTGGTGTTCACTAGAGAGATGGAATTGAGACTAAGACTTGGATATGCAGATGTTAAGACTGTTTACTGTTTTTTTCACATGTAGAAATGTTCCTTGTGTATTTTTTCTACAGAGGGTTTTCTCTGGTTTTATTTTTTTGTTTCTGACTAATAGTTAGTTGGAAACTCATGTAAAATGAGCTTTCCTAGATTAAAAATATTTTAAATAAAGGTGTTACTATTATAGTTGCTTCAGTGTATTTATTTTGTGCAACTTGAACTTGGTTTTTACTTTAAACTGACTCTTAGGGACCAGTATTAATTGGGATTTTAATTTAAAGATCATTTTGTTACCTTTTCTTTTATTCCAAGAAATTAATAGGTTAAGAGGTCACAAGGGTGACACATTAGCTTTCTTGAGGCAATCTGATTTGGAATTAAGAATCTCCTAGATGGCATTATTTTTTTAAGTGCTTTTTAGTGCTAACAAGTTTGAAAAATAGACTTCCAATTGGAATGCAACTTCTTTTTTACTTTCTTTTAAAGTTATTATTACTTGATCAAGTATCAGGAAAAAAGAAAGTTTAATTTATATGCCTACCTCTTTCCAAAAAGACTAACGTGCCAGCAAAGATTAGCACAGTGCTGAAGGTTGAAATAAGAACATAGAATTAAATAGTTTGAGCTATTTCTTTAAATTTTGTTCTGAGAGGAAAGGTACTCATATGGCATGAACATAGAACTACTGTAATACCCCTTAAATGCCCCTTAGTTTTCAGTCATGTCCTGTGCTTATTAACATTGCAAATTAAACTAATGAATTGGAGAAATCTGGAAATCTAACAAGATCTTTACATTTTGGTCATACATAGCTCTGATATTATTTTTATATTTTATTTTCTTTAATATTGCATTCACTGTCCGTTTTCTATTAAATACTTTGAATCTCTGCTTTTCCTGAGATTGTATTGCTTAGCCACGTTCTTACAATTGCAAGTCAAATTTATAGATTATGACATCAAAACAAAAAAACAGCTTCAGTGGAGCAATCTGAAATTCTGGTACAGATTTTAGGCTGGCGATAGAGGAAACCTCCAATGTTATAACTTAGGGTTTCTCAGGGTTGACATTTGGGCCTTGTAATTCTTTATTGTGGAAGTCATCCTTTGTATTATAGGTTTAGCAGCATCACTGGTCACGAGCCCACACAAGTGCCAGTAGCACTCCGAAGGTGTGACAACCCAAAATACCCCTAAACGTTGCCAGACGTCATCTGGGGAGAAAATCACCCTGGTTAAGAACCACTGATGTAGCCACACCTAAAATACTGGTTCAGTACAAGGTGAGACTGCATATTTTCAAGTGTTCTGAGTATACTGACAGCTAGAAAGTACAGTTGGTGAATAATCCAATAATGTCTTTGTTCTTGCTATGACCATTTTAAGATTTACTTTCTATTTTATTGAAGAGCAAAAGCTGGAATAATTGGTATTATAGAATCCCCCCCATTTCCGGCATTCCAGAAGTCTCTGAGGTTTTTTTCTTAGCTGTATGAAATTGAACCACTTAGCTACAAGATGAGGTGGTTTATTTCTAGAAAGTAGGATTTCTACATTTTATACTTTGACCTAAATTTAAAAAGACTGATTTTTTTTGTAATAAAAACTTGACTGTAAGCTTACTCTTTCCTATAAAAACACATTCCATTTTTGTGAAGAAAGCTTGGAATTTGCTTAAAATGTTCTTTATGATCTTTGTCTAGCCATGTTTCTTTAGTTAATTATTTACTGAAAAAAGAGATGAGTAACAAGTAGAATAAGAGTTCTAGTACTGATTATACAATGAAATTAAATCTCTGTTAGAGCAGCTAAAATAAAAAATGAGGAATTAAGAACCAAAGCTGAGATACTCTAGAAGCTGCAATGTAAAAATCAATTTTATATAAAAATTCTTAATTCTTTGCTGTTGGGTTTAAAAATAGCAATTCATTAGAAATTCTTATTCAAAAACAAGAGTTCACTAGAAATCTATTTATCTAAACCAAAAAAATGTAAATGGTAACTCCTAATTCTGTAACGGCGGCGCAGAACACTTTTAGTGGCAGAGCGTCGGGGAAGGAGCCCCAGAAGGCTACGGGGCGGGAGAAGGGGGCGGGCAGGTGGTGGCAGGGGCTCAAGAAATGGGTCCTTCTGGTGACTTCCTCTTACTGAATAATTTAGGAAAAGGCAAAAAAGTTAATACCTGGAATGTATTTATTTATGAAATTAAGCTGTGTATTATTTCTATGCAAAATTTTCTAAGTTGAGGTAGAATATACATAATGTACAATTAACCACTTTAAATTGTACAATGTGGTGACATTTAGTGTGTTCACACTACTGTATAACCAGCAGCTCTAATTTCAAAACTTTCTCATCATCCCATAAAACGCCCGTAAGTGATCACTCCCAATCCCTCCCACCCTCTTTCCTGATGACTCCTAATCTGCTTCCGTCTCTCTGGATTTGCCTGTTGTGGACACACTATGGAAAGGGAATCACACAATATATATCCTTTTGTGCCTGAGTTTTTCACTTAGCATCATCTTTTCAAGGTCCATCCAAGTTGTAGCATATATCAGCACTTTGTTCCCTTTGAAGGGTGAATAGTATTACATTGTGTATGTGTGTATTCTGTATTACGTGCATATATCCATATATGTTTATCACATGTACATATATAAACATTATCCATTGATGAACATTTAGGTTTCTACCTTTGGCTATTATGAATAATGCTATAATGCTATAAGCATTTGTGTCCAAGTTGCTGTGTAGACATGTTTTCATTTCTCTTGAGCAGATATCTAGAAGTGGAATTAGAATCACATGATAATTCTATATTTAACTTTTTTCATAGTGGCTGTACCATTTTACAGTCCCACCAGTAAAGTATAAGGGCTCCTATTTCTCTGAATCACCAATACTTGTTTTTTTGTTTTTTGTTTTTAATTAAAGCCATTCTACTAGGAGTGATGTATCTTATTGTGATTTTGATTTGCATTTCCTCAGTTATATTGAGTATCTTTTCATCTGCTTATTGGTCACTTGCATATCTTTGGAGAAATGTCTGTTCAAGTCCTGTGTTTAGTTTTTAATCAGGTTGTTTTGGTGAGTTGTAGGAGTTCTTTATTGTGGATATTAAATCTATATCCAATATATGATCTGCAAACATTTTGTGCTATTCTGTAAATTGCCATTTCGCATTCTTGATAATGTTCTTTGATGAACAAAATTTTTAGTTTTTATGTGTTCCAGTTTATTTCTTTCCTTGCTCATACTTCTGGTGTCAGATCTAAGAATTCATTGCCAAATCTGAGATTATGAATATTAATCCCTATAGTTTTTTTCTAGGAATTTTACATTTTAGCTCTTAAATTTAGTTCAGTGGCCCATTTTGAATCAATTTTTATATGTGGAGTGAGGTAGAGGTCTCACTTCATTCTTTTACATGTGGTTATCCAGCTGTCCCGGCACCATTTATTAAAGAGACTATTCTTTCCCTATTGAATGGTCTTGGCACCCTTGTCAAAAATCAATTTGCCATAGATATTTGAGTTTATTTCTACATCCTCAATTCTATTCCTTTTGTCTACATTGCTATTCTTATGCCAGTCCTGCACTCTTGTCAGTAGCAGAGTTTTGAAATTAGGATGTCTGAATCCTCCTACTTTTTCTTTTTCAATATTGTTTAGGCTTATTTGGGACCCTTTTCAGTTCCCAGTGAATGTGAGGATTGGCTTTTTCCATTCTGCCAGGAAGGCCATTAGAATTTTGGTAAGGATTGTATTGAGTCTGTAGATCACTTAAGATAGCCATATTAGCAATGTTAAGTGTTCCAATCCATAAACATGGGATGTCCATTATTTAGATCTTTAAAATCTTTCTGCAATATTTTGTAGTTTCCAGTGTACAAGTCTTTCACCTCCTTGGTTAAATTTATTCCTTGTATCTTATTCTTTCTGGTGCTACTGTAAATGAAACTTTTCTTAATTTAGTTTTTCAATTGTTTATCGGTGTATAGAAACACAACTGTAATTTGTGTTGACCCTGAAAGCGTGTTGAAGTCATTACCTCTAGTATGTTTATTTTTATCACCAAATTGCGCTGGCCACAGCTTCTAGGACAATGTTGAATAGCTGTGGTTAAAGCAGGCATCCTTGTCCTGTTCTTGTTCTTAGGGGGAGAGCTTTCAGTCCTTCACCCTTGAGTATGATGGCAGTTGGGATAAACATTCTTTATCATTTAAGGAATTTTCCTTATATTACTAGTTGCTAAGTGTTTTATCATGAAAAGATGTTGAATTTTGTTAAATACTTTGTAACTACTGAGGTGATCATACAGTTTCTTTTCCCCTTTGTTCTGTTAATGGGTGTTACATTGAATGATTTTCTTATGTTGAATAACCCTTGCATTTCTGGATAAATCTCATTTAATCATGGTGTGTAATGCTTTTAATGTGCTGTTGGGTTTAGTTTATTGGTATTTTGTGGAAAATTTTTGCATCTATCTTCACAAGGGATACCGTTCTGGAGTTTTCTTTTACTGTCTGTCTCTGACTTTGGTATTAGGGTAACGCTGCTTCCATAGAATTTGTTAAGAAGTGTTCTCTTTTATATTTTGGAAAAGATTAAATAGGATTAATATAACTTTATCTTGTTGGGAATGGACTCTTTTAACTATAAAATGTCTTTGTCTCTTGTAACAACTTTTTATTTAAAATCTGTTCTCTTATATTAGTGTAGCCACCACAGCTCTCTTTTGGCTACTATTTGCATGGATTTACATAAAGTTTTGACAGCAAAATTCAGATTATGATATCTAGGCAAGTGATGGTGGTACAAAAATAAATTGTTATGTTATTGCTTATTCATTTAGTAAAGGCAGCTTTAAAATGTCAGGGAATGTCATATATATGTATACATATGTATTTTCAAGTGTGAGTACTGTTTACAAATCATTCCTTTGAAATTATGGAATTCCTTTTATTTTTTTTCTAGCTAAAACTTAATGGTATAAACTTTATTGTATTTGTCATGTCCTAGTTGTGTTGATAGTCTACATGGTTATCTATAATCTTATTACATTAGACTATATATATAATGTAAATATTAGTCATATTAATTACCACTAGGTTATCATATATGGGAATGTGTGTGGGGGGGGGGTCTTCCCTTTAATGTAAACTTAATGTAAGTATCAAGTCAGTTTTGTACCTATCATGCCCAATAGACTTTATTTTGACTTTTAACCTCTGGAAATATAAATCACATATGTACTCTTTTTTTGTTGAAAAAAGNCAATGGCCTGTTCTGACTTTTAATAATTCACTATGGCCTATGTATTTTTACCAATACATAGACATATTTTGCTGTGATATTATAAGTAGTCTGTGAAACTTTTCCGTTTCAGGCAAGACATCTTTACATTTGTGATTATCATAAAAACTTAATTCAGACTGTACGAAACAGAAGAAAAAGAAAAGGGAGTGATGATGATGGAGGAGATTCACCTGTTCAAGATATTGATACGCCAGAGGTAGACGGAAGTTCTTGTATGTTAAATGTAAACCCTAAGTAATCCATTCTGAAACTTTTATAAGAGCATATCAACACATTTTTAAATACTTAAAACATTTGAAAAATCTGAAAATGAAAGGAAAATTAAATTTAGCCAGTTAACATGTAGTTACAGACTTCTTTTATTTTCATTTGATGGTTCTGATATAACTGTTTTCTTATAACTGTTTTTGCCCCCAGTTTTTCATATTTAACCTAAAAAAATTTAAGTGTTTAGTACATGTACAGTTATAAAAGGGTTTCTAAATTATGTAATTAAATTTTTGTGTTGAAATTGAAATGTTACATATATTAAAGATAACTTTTTAATAAATTGAATGAACTAATTCACATATGCTAATTTTTTCTAGGTTGATTTATACCAGTTACAAGTAAATACACTTAGAAGATACAAAAGACACTTCAAACTACCAACCAGACCAGGACTTAATAAAGCACAACTTGTTGAGGTATTTATGAGTTTTAAACTATTTCAACTTCAAATGAACCTCTTCATACAAAAAAGGGTCATTAAATGCTAATGAAATTGTTAGTGTAGTGTGTACAACAATACATTTTAGTTAGAAAGATCAAAGTTAAAAAAAAAATCTATTATGGAAGAATCTAGTTACCCAAAAGTATTTGTTTTCCCCTTAGGAAATTGCTTTATGTAGTGACTGCTCAATGGATTGTGTAGTTTTCTAAGCATTTTCTAATACTAGCTTTGAGTGAGAGTCTTTCATTCTCAATATAGAAATCTGTTGATTTTAAAATTCCATTTTCTTAGTAAACTTTAATTGAACACTTAATTGAAGCACAGTAAAATAAATAAATAAGCTTTGCTGTCTTTATGAGAATTTATTTTTTGAATTTTTTGGTGGAATAAGTCTACAGATAAACCCCTAAACAGTATTGCTATAACTTGCTGATTTAGCTGTTTGAGAATTCGTTGTTGTTGATGTTAGGATGTTTTAAAGCATCTATGTTTTTTTCACATCTAGAAGATGGCAAAGACTTTTATCCAAGCTTTTACTTATAGTTTGTTTGATACAGATTTCAAGTCCTTTATTTAATTGTGAAAAGTTTCTGTGTGTTCTCAGGAAATAACAGAACCAAGAAATCTAGACATCATATTAAGATGTTTATAGATTTATATGCTTTATTAAAAGAAAAACCAGAATAGAATTACAAATATTTAAATCAGTTTTGTCATGTTCTCCATCTTGAATTTAGTAATCTAACATTTTATAAAATGTGTTTATTCAATTAGATAAAAAATGAATAGAAGGTGTGATAATTTGGTTAACTACTTTTCAACATAGTTAAGATCCAATATATTAACTTTTTAGCCAGAATTTCTTCTTTCCTTCTTGCCTAGGCAAGAGAATCTAATTTTGCTCTAAATTTGATTTAAAAGATCGAGTCCTGTTGGGATTGTATAGTACATAAATGTAACATAACTACAGATAATGCCTACCATGGTGAAGCTACATCAATATATACAGATATTAGTCAAGTAGAAGGAACCTTTGTGTTGGAACAAATGAGAACCAAAGAACTGATTATTTTCAATGTCATGTTTAAATGTATATATTTTTCAAATGTATAACTCAAACCAAGTTTTTGATAATTTGATCTTCTTTAAAAAGTTGTTATTCTGTAGTTATTTTCTCTTTTAGAAATGAGAAATAGCCATGAGATTGTTATAGTTTACTTAGAGAGGCAGATATTTATAAGTGATTCCAGAGTTAGATGGCTATCTTCCTTGTTTCTTAATTATAGTGTGAGTAATTTTTTCTTTAAGAATTGTTATTTTCTAGAATCTAGATATGTATATGAGCACCCCAGGTTAGTCTGTTCTACATCTGTTGATAGTTGCAGTGCACATGTTAGATTATCACAGTGAAAAGGCAAGAAAGCAGGTAAACATTCCTCAGTGAGCTTCCCTCTTTCCCTTCATATTTTCCATCCATAATTTTTATTCAGAAAAATAGGGAACCTTAACAAATACTGTCAATGAGTGAATGAATATAAGTTACGTCAAAAATATTTGTAATATATTTCATGATTTGTTTCCATAGTACCAAAACTTTTAACTTCATGTTCATCCTCTGTGTGAGTATGGCTTAAACCATTACATGGCTCATGTGGACTCTTACATTCTATTTCACTGATAGTTAAAGTTTAAGAAGTATTTACTTCCCAGTCTTGATTCTAGTTAAGAAAATTTAAAACAAAGAAAATACACATTCTAATTAATGTATATTTAGTTGAGTGGACGACCGTGTCCTTTGAAATCACACTATCTCCAGTTCATAACATCTTATTCTTACATTTTTTCTTATGTTGGTATTTTGTTAACTGCAGTCTACTTTAAAAAGGAAATAGCTCTTATCATCACATAGCACTTTTTCTTTCAATGAAAGTGTTTTGGTTAGTTTATGAAATCTGTTAATATCCATAATTTAATTTCCTCAATTTTTTTTTCTTTATAGATAGTTGGTTGCCACTTTAGGTCTATTCCAGTGAATGAAAAAGACACCTTAACATATTTCATCTACTCAGTGAAGAATGACAAGAACAAGTCAGATCTCAAGGTTGATAGTGGTGTTCACTAGAGAGATGGAATTGAGACTAAGACTTGGATATGCAGATGTTAAGACTGTTTACTGTTTTTTTCACATGTAGAAATGTTCCTTGTGTATTTTTTCTACAGAGGGTTTTCTCTGGTTTTATTTTTTTGTTTCTGACTAATAGTTAGTTGGAAACTCATGTAAAATGAGCTTTCCTAGATTAAAAATATTTTAAATAAAGGTGTTACTATTATAGTTGCTTCAGTGTATTTATTTTGTGCAACTTGAACTTGGTTTTTACTTTAAACTGACTCTTAGGGACCAGTATTAATTGGGATTTTAATTTAAAGATCATTTTGTTACCTTTTCTTTTATTCCAAGAAATTAATAGGTTAAGAGGTCACAAGGGTGACACATTAGCTTTCTTGAGGCAATCTGATTTGGAATTAAGAATCTCCTAGATGGCATTATTTTTTTAAGTGCTTTTTAGTGCTAACAAGTTTGAAAAATAGACTTCCAATTGGAATGCAACTTCTTTTTTACTTTCTTTTAAAGTTATTATTACTTGATCAAGTATCAGGAAAAAAGAAAGTTTAATTTATATGCCTACCTCTTTCCAAAAAGACTAACGTGCCAGCAAAGATTAGCACAGTGCTGAAGGTTGAAATAAGAACATAGAATTAAATAGTTTGAGCTATTTCTTTAAATTTTGTTCTGAGAGGAAAGGTACTCATATGGCATGAACATAGAACTACTGTAATACCCCTTAAATGCCCCTTAGTTTTCAGTCATGTCCTGTGCTTATTAACATTGCAAATTAAACTAATGAATTGGAGAAATCTGGAAATCTAACAAGATCTTTACATTTTGGTCATACATAGCTCTGATATTATTTTTATATTTTATTTTCTTTAATATTGCATTCACTGTCCGTTTTCTATTAAATACTTTGAATCTCTGCTTTTCCTGAGATTGTATTGCTTAGCCACGTTCTTACAATTGCAAGTCAAATTTATAGATTATGACATCAAAACAAAAAAACAGCTTCAGTGGAGCAATCTGAAATTCTGGTACAGATTTTAGGCTGGCGATAGAGGAAACCTCCAATGTTATAACTTAGGGTTTCTCAGGGTTGACATTTGGGCCTTGTAATTCTTTATTGTGGAAGTCATCCTTTGTATTGTAGGTTTAGCAGCATCACTGGTCACGAGCCCACACAAGTGCCAGTAGCACTCCGAAGGTGTGACAACCCAAAATACCCCTAAACGTTGCCAGACGTCATCTGGGGAGAAAATCACCCTGGTTAAGAACCACTGATGTAGCCACACCTAAAATACTGGTTCAGTACAAGGTGAGACTGCATATTTTCAAGTGTTCTGAGTATACTGACAGCTAGAAAGTACAGTTGGTGAATAATCCAATAATGTCTTTGTTCTTGCTATGACCATTTTAAGATTTACTTTCTATTTTATTGAAGAGCAAAAGCTGGAATAATTGGTATTATAGAATCCCCCCCATTTCCGGCATTCCAGAAGTCTCTGAGGTTTTTTTCTTAGCTGTATGAAATTGAACCACTTAGCTACAAGATGAGGTGGTTTATTTCTAGAAAGTAGGATTTCTACATTTTATACTTTGACCTAAATTTAAAAAGACTGATTTTTTTTTGTAATAAAAACTTGACTGTAAGCTTACTCTTTCCTATAAAAACACATTCCATTTTTGTGAAGAAAGCTTGGAATTTGCTTAAAATGTTCTTTATGATCTTTGTCTAGCCATGTTTCTTTAGTTAATTATTTACTGAAAAAAGAGATGAGTAACAAGTAGAATAAGAGTTCTAGTACTGATTATACAATGAAATTAAATCTCTGTTAGAGCAGCTAAAATAAAAAATGAGGAATTAAGAACCAAAGCTGAGATACTCTAGAAGCTGCAATGTAAAAATCAATTTTATATAAAAATTCTTAATTCTTTGCTGTTGGGTTTAAAAATAGCAATTCATTAGAAATTCTTATTCAAAAACAAGAGTTCACTAGAAATCTATTTATCTAAACCAAAAAAATGTAAATGGTAACTCCTAATTCTGTAACGGCGGCGCAGAACACTTTTAGTGGCAGAGCGTCGGGGAAGGAGCCCCAGAAGGCTACGGGGCGGGAGAAGGGGGCGGGCAGGTGGTGGCAGGGGCTCAAGAAATGGGTCCTTCTGGTGACTTCCTCTTACTGAATAATTTAGGAAAAGGCAAAAAAGTTAATACCTGGAATGTATTTATTTATGAAATTAAGCTGTGTATTATTTCTATGCAAAATTTTCTAAGTTGAGGTAGAATATACATAATGTACAATTAACCACTTTAAATTGTACAATGTGGTGACATTTAGTGTGTTCACACTACTGTATAACCAGCAGCTCTAATTTCAAAACTTTCTCATCATCCCATAAAATGCCCGTAAGTGATCACTCCCAATCCCTCCCACCCTCTTTCCTGATGACTCCTAATCTGCTTCCGTCTCTCTGGATTTGCCTGTTGTGGACACACTATGGAAAGGGAATCACACAATATATATCCTTTTGTGCCTGAGTTTTTCACTTAGCATCATCTTTTCAAGGTCCATCCAAGTTGTAGCATATATCAGCACTTTGTTCCCTTTGAAGGGTGAATAGTATTACATTGTGTATGTGTGTATTCTGTATTACGTGCATATATCCATATATGTTTATCACATGTACATATATAAACATTATCCATTGATGAACATTTAGGTTTCTACCTTTGGCTATTATGAATAATGCTATAATGCTTTAAGCATTTGTGTCCAAGTTGCTGTGTAGACATTTTTTCATTTCTCTTGAGCAGATATCTAGAAGTGGAATTAGAATCACATGATAATTCTATATTTAACTTTTTTCATAGTGGCTGTACCATTTTACAGTCCCACCAGTAAAGTATAAGGGCTCCTATTTCTCTGAATCACCAATACTTGTTTTTTTGTTTTTTGTTTTTAATTAAAGCCATTCTACTAGGAGTGATGTATCTTATTGTGATTTTGATTTGCATTTCCTCAGTTATATTGAGTATCTTTTCATCTGCTTATTGGTCACTTGCATATCTTTGGAGAAATGTCTGTTCAAGTCCTGTGTTTAGTTTTTAATCAGGTTGTTTTGGTGAGTTGTAGGAGTTCTTTATTGTGGATATTAAATCTATATCCAATATATGATCTGCAAACATTTTGTGCTATTCTGTAAATTGCCATTTCGCATTCTTGATAATGTTCTTTGATGAACAAAATTTTTAGTTTTTATGTGTTCCAGTTTATTTCTTTCCTTGCTCATACTTCTGGTGTCAGATCTAAGAATTCATTGCCAAATCTGAGATTATGAATATTAATCCCTATAGTTTTTTTCTAGGAATTTTACATTTTAGCTCTTAAATTTAGTTCAGTGGCCCATTTTGAATCAATTTTTATATGTGGAGTGAGGTAGAGGTCTCACTTCATTCTTTTACATGTGGTTATCCAGCTGTCCCGGCACCATTTATTAAAGAGACTATTCTTTCCCTATTGAATGGTCTTGGCACCCTTGTCAAAAATCAATTTGCCATAGATATTTGAGTTTATTTCTACATCCTCAATTCTATTCCTTTTGTCTACATTGCTATTCTTATGCCAGTCCTGCACTCTTGTCAGTAGCAGAGTTTTGAAATTAGGATGTCTGAATCCTCCTACTTTTTCTTTTTCAATATTGTTTAGGCTTATTTGGGACCCTTTTCAGTTCCCAGTGAATGTGAGGATTGGCTTTTTCCATTCTGCCAGGAAGGCCATTAGAATTTTGGTAAGGATTGTATTGAGTCTGTAGATCACTTAAGATAGCCATATTAGCAATGTTAAGTGTTCCAATCCATAAACATGGGATGTCCATTATTTAGATCTTTAAAATCTTTCTGCAATATTTTGTAGTTTCCAGTGTACAAGTCTTTCACCTCCTTGGTTAAATTTATTCCTTGTATCTTATTCTTTCTGGTGCTACTGTAAATGAAACTTTTCTTAATTTAGTTTTTCAATTGTTTATCGGTGTATAGAAACACAACTGTAATTTGTGTTGACCCTGAAAGCGTGTTGAAGTCATTACCTCTAGTATGTTTATTTTTATCACCAAATTGCGCTGGCCACAGCTTCTAGGACAATGTTGAATAGCTGTGGTTAAAGCAGGCATCCTTGTCCTGTTCTTGTTCTTAGGGGGAGAGCTTTCAGTCCTTCACCCTTGAGTATGATGGCAGTTGGGATAAACATTCTTTATCATTTAAGGAATTTTCCTTATATTACTAGTTGCTAAGTGTTTTATCATGAAAAGATGTTGAATTTTGTTAAATACTTTGTAACTACTGAGGTGATCATACAGTTTCTTTTCCCCTTTGTTCTGTTAATGGGTGTTACATTGAATGATTTTCTTATGTTGAATAACCCTTGCATTTCTGGATAAATCTCATTTAATCATGGTGTGTAATGCTTTTAATGTGCTGTTGGGTTTAGTTTATTGGTATTTTGTGGAAAATTTTTGCATCTATCTTCACAAGGGATACCGTTCTGGAGTTTTCTTTTACTGTCTGTCTCTGACTTTGGTATTAGGGTAACGCTGCTTCCATAGAATTTGTTAAGAAGTGTTCTCTTTTATATTTTGGAAAAGATTAAATAGGATTAATATAACTTTATCTTGTTGGGAATGGACTCTTTTAACTATAAAATGTCTTTGTCTCTTGTAACAACTTTTTATTTAAAATCTGTTCTCTTATATTAGTGTAGCCACCACAGCTCTCTTTTGGCTACTATTTGCATGGATTTACATAAAGTTTTGACAGCAAAATTCAGATTATGATATCTAGGCAAGTGATGGTGGTACAAAAATAAATTGTTATGTTATTGCTTATTCATTTAGTAAAGGCAGCTTTAAAATGTCAGGGAATGTCATATATATGTATACATATGTATTTTCAAGTGTGAGTACTGTTTACAAATCATTCCTTTGAAATTATGGAATTCCTTTTATTTTTTTTCTAGCTAAAACTTAATGGTATAAACTTTATTGTATTTGTCATGTCCTAGTTGTGTTGATAGTCTACATGGTTATCTATAATCTTATTACATTAGACTATATATATAATGTAAATATTAGTCATATTAATTACCACTAGGTTATCATATATGGGAATGTGTGTGTGTGGGGGGGTCTTCCCTTTAATGTAAACTTAATGTAAGTATCAAGTCAGTTTTGTACCTATCATGCCCAATAGACTTTATTTTGACTTTTAACCTCTGGAAATATAAATCACATATGTACTCTTTTTTTGTTGAAAAAAGTTTCTACTTATAAAGTTCTTAGAATATATGGGCTACAAATATGCTACACATTTCTCTGGATGTACTAGTCTATAAAGATGAGCACCTTATGGCGAAACCAGTCTGTAGAAGTGAACTGAGGATGCTAATTCAGTGTCAATTTTCTAATATCACTTTCTCTTCAAATCATTGAGAGAAAAGTTTAGGCTGAGGCTGTTGATGATTTAGAAATATATGGATTGCATTATTTTTTCCTTTTGGGAAAAATATGTTAAGGCCTATAGTACTGTACTGATAAGAATATTTACATTTTAAAGGCAACCACCATAATTTTTTACAAAAATGGTTTCTTATGGAAAGAACTCATGTGTACTTACTGACAATTGTAAGGAAGTAAAAGTTGCACAATGATCTTTGAATGTTCTTATCTGTCCTTTTTTCCCTCCAGTAGTTATTGCTCATTGGTTTGATTCTCCATGTTTCTTCCAATTCTCTAATAATCCTTTAGGATTGGTGTCTAATCTTAGCAAATGAAAACATTCAAGGAGTCCGTATGGATTATGATGAGGAAAAGAGAAATTTTATCCAGGAGAGATGAGCAATTAGCAAGTATTACTGGAACTTTGTGCTCAGTAACATGGGATTCACAGTAAGACTGAGGATATAAAAAGTCACATAAAAATACAGACATTGTTGTTAAGTAATTAGCACATATGAGCTATCTGAAATGTATATCATGAGTCCCATACAAGTAAAGGTTTGCTTTCCTAAAAAGGAAATTGATTGGATGATACTATAAATAATGTAGTGTTTATGACACTAGGTGCTAGAGTGAGACTGGCCATAGTCAAAACCTGGCTCTACTGCGCCAGTAATGTAACCTTAGCCAAGCTACTTAATCTCTCTAAGCCTTGGTGCTTTTACCATAAAATGAGGATCATGATAGTATCTATTCTTCAATTGTAAGATAGAGTTTAGAACAATAGTAAGCTTTTAATAAAAGCTTAGGTGTGTTTTCTTATAGCTAACAACTATTGAATAAGGGACCTATTCATATGATAGGATGAAATATTTGCTTTTATAAATGTGTTGACCTACTCAGAGAAAGTTTCATAAAGTAGCTATGTGAAAATTCCTATATTACATTTATCTGGTAATATAGAGTGTGTACTTTTATAATGCATCCATTTCTAAAAAAATGTAATTGAGTTTCATATTACAAAGATATTTCTGGAAAGGAAAAAATATGAATGAAGAATAATCATCATAATCTATAAGATCCCATTTATTGAATACATGGCTTCTTTCAAATACTATTTTTCTCATTGGGTTTCGATTGCGGTAATAAGGGAACATTTATTAAGAAGCCATTGCTGCCTCACGTATGGCCTCACTCTGATGTGTCATTTATAAAAAGAGGTGCCCAATCTTTAACTCTTTTTTTCCTCCCTCAAAGCGAGTCCATAGCAAGTGGAAGTTGAAACAGGCTTACTGATGATTTTCTTTACCTCTTCTATGTACTGTTCCAGAAAGGGTATAAGACTTCTGTTATTGAGTTGGCCTGATTTTAATACCAATCAATTCAATAAAGAAAAAAAGCTCAATCAAATCACGTGTTATGTTGATAAAACAGCAAATTTGATTTTTTAAAACAATTTCTTCATGCATTTTTTTGTAGGAGGGCATACTATTTGGAAATACATTGTGGCTAATATTTGTGCAGGTTTTAAAAGGAACTGAATTCTGCCTCAAAATTGTTTGGTCCAACCCAGTAACACTTACTAGATACTATTACTTAGGTACTGTTCTGGATGTGGTCTTTAGAAGCGGATCAGGGACCTCCAAGGATGTATTTCAATTAAATAATGACACTTTTATTATGAAATGATATCTCCTAGATTTTCTACATGGTATTATGGTGTTTCTTAAACTTTTCCTCAACAAAATACTTTGTACAGATATACCTCAGAGATATTACAGGTTTGGTTCCAGACCACCGTAATGAAATGAATATCAAAATAAAGCAAGTCAAATTAATCTTTTGGTATCTCGGTGCACATTAAAGTTATGTTTACCCTGTCTTGTGATCTCTTAAGTGAGCAATAGCGTTACGTTTTTAAAAAAAGTATAGATCTTAAACAATATTGCTAAAAACTGTTGACCATTATTTGAACCTTCAGCAAGTCATCTCTTTGCTGGCAGAGCCTCCGTGTTGGTGGCTGCTGACTGATTAGGGTGGTGGTTGCTGAAGGGTGGGGTGGCCGTGGCAATTTCTTAAAATATGAAGTGTGTCCCATCTATTTACTCCCTTTCACGAATGATTTCTCCCGTCACATGCAATGCTGTTTGAAAGCATTTTACCCGCAGTAGACCTCCTGTTGAAATTGAAGTCAGTTCTCTCAAACCCTGCCACTGCCTTAACAACAAAGTTTATGCAATATTCTAAATCCTTTGTTATCATTTCAACAATCTTCAAAACATCTTCACCAGGAGTAAATTCTACCTAAAAAAAACCCAACTTCCTTTGCTCATTCATAAGAAGCAACTTCTCATCCGTTCAAGTTGGATCCTGAGATGCAGCAACTCAGTCACACCTCCAGGCTCCACTTCGAGGTCCAGTTCTCATGCTGTTTCTACCACGTCTGCGGTGACTTCCTCCACTGAAGGCTTGAACCCCTTAAAGCCATCCATGAGGGTTGGAATTATTTTCTTCCAAACTCCTGTTAATGTTGACATTTTGACCTGTTCCCATGAATCACAAATGTTCTAACGGCATTTAGAATGGTGAATCCTTTATAGAAGGTTCTCGATTGACTTTGCCCAGATCCCAGGGGAGTCACTATTTATGGCAGCTATAGCCTCATGCAATGTATTTTTCAAATAATAAGACTTGAAAGGCACAATGACTTCTTGATCCCTAGGCTGCAGAATGGATGCTGTGTAGCAGGCATGGAGACATGCATCTCACTGTCCACCTCCTTGGAGCTCTTGTGGGACAGGGGCATTGTCAGTGAGCAGTTGTATTTGGAAAGGAACTTTTTTTCTGAGCAATAGTTCTCAACAGTGGGCTTAAAATAAACCATGGTATGAACAGATGTGTTGTCATTTGGGCTTTGTTGTTCCATTTACAGAGCAGAGGCAGAAGAGATTTGGCATAATTCTTAAGGGCCATGGGATTTCGGAATAGGAAATTAGCATTGGCTGCAGATCCATGTCACCAGCTGGATTAGCTCCTAACAAGAGAATGAGCTTGGCCTTTGAAGCTTTGAAGCCAGGTGACTCCTCTCTAGCTCTGTGAGTCCTTGATGCATCATCTTCCAACAGAAGGTTGTTCTGTCTCTGCTGAAAAGCCGTTGTTTAGTGTAGCCACCATTATTAATGACCTCAGCCTGATCTGGATAATCTGCTGCAGCTTCTCCATCAGCACCTGCTGCTTCATCTGCACTTTTCTGTTATGAAAACGCCTTCTTTCCTTAAACCTCACGAACCAACCTTTGCTAGTTTCAGGCTTGTCTTCTGCAGCCCCCTCCCCTCTCTGAGTCTTCATTGAACTGGAGTCAGGGCCCTGCCCTGGATGAGGCTTTGGCTTCAGCAAACGTTGTGGCTGGTTTGACCCTCTGTTCAGACCACTCACACTTCCTCCATGGCAGAGTGGTTGGTTTACTTTCTTATCACTGGTGTGCTCACTGGAGGAGCACTTTTCATTTCCTTCAAGAACTTTTCCTTTGCACGCACAGCACGGTTAACTTGTTTGTTCAGGTCAAGAGGCCTGGCTTTCAGCCTGTCTTGGCCTTTGACATGGTTCCTCACTAATGGCATCTAGAATGGATTAATCATTTCTAGCGTTTGGTTTAAAGTGAGAGATGTATGACTCTCCTTTAACTTGAACACTTAGAGACCATTGTAAGGCTCTTGATCGGCCTGATTTCAATATTGTTGTTTCTCAGGGGAATAGGGAGGCCCCCGGAGAGGGAGGGAGATGGGGGATCAGCCTGTTGGCAGAGCCATCAAAACACACACAACATGTATCAATTAAATTTGCTGTCTTCCATGGGCATGGTTCCTAGTGCCCCAGACTAATTACAATAAGAACATCAGAGATCACTAATCACAGGTCACCATAGCAAACATGAAACATGATAGTAATGAAAAAGTTTGAAATATTGGAGAGAACTACCAAAAAGTGACAGCCATGCGAAGTGAGCACCTGCTGTTGGAAAAATGCTGCTGATAGACGTGCTTGGCACAGGGTTACCACAGACTCTCGGTTTGTAAAAAACACAGTGTCTGTGAAGCACAGCAAAGCGAAGGGCAATAAAATGAGGTGTGTGTATAGCCTACACCTCTCCATAGCAGGCTTCACATTGATCAATGATTAGTTGTATTTGTTTTACATTTGTTAGAGTATAAGCTCTAAAAGGACAAATCCTTCTGATTCATTACTACATCCCCAAATCTTAATAATAGCGGGCACTTTGCAAGCATTTGATAAATTTTTATAGTATGGAGGACTTTCTGAAATTTCCTCTGATAGCCACTAGTCTATGCATAACAACTAAAATATGGGGACATAGTCCAAAGCTGCCTGTAGCAATCAGAAAATATTTTTGAAAGCATCTAGTTTATCTTCTTTAAAAATTCATGTGACTTTTAAAATTCCCATCCGTTGCATATTTCTTTTAATGTATGTTTTGTTATTAAGAATTTATACTTCAGGGATACACATCATAGTTGTGTATGTGGGCTTTGAAACTAGAGCTCTTGAAATTCTGCCTTGATTTTTAGCAAATATCTTAAACTCCAGTTAGCATCTTAGAAATGGGTAAGAATACTTGTTTTGAATGTTTTTGTTGCGATTTTTCAGAGAGTAAACTGAAAATGTACTTAAAATATTTGGCATGCACAATATATATCAAATATTGGCTCTCTTTTTCCCTCTCACTAGAAAACTTTCAGGCCCCTTTGTAAGAACCTCCATTTAGATCTGAATCTTTGCGCTAAGTATACATGGTCAGTAACTATCAACTAAGAAATGAAAGTTCTCAGTTTTTGAGCTGAGGTCATGGCTCTTTATCTGGGTGGCAGAATCCTTTTACCAAGTGTAATGAGTGCCTCTTGATGAAAATTGTCTGGCCAACATTTTTAACCAGTTCCAACAATGCGCACAGGAACATAGTAAGTTGAATTAATTTTTATTACTACTGATGCAACAGAGGTTTGCTTGTCCTAGACAAGTAGGAATTTATAGAATCTGCTCTATTGCATTGGATAGAAACAAGAAAGGCAATTACATGGATATAGTGCAGTTTGCAGAAAACTTGGGGTGGTGTTGTCTGGGATACATGAAGATTCTCAGTGGCTGTTGCAAGGAATCACAAAAGAGATCTTTGGTCCAAAGAAGAAGCCTCTGAAAGAAAGCAGAGCATCAGTTAAATAGAGCTGAAAGTGCTGATACATATTAGTCTTCTGTGGGTTAAAAATGGACAGTGATTTCCAGGATTTCAGATATGACTATTCTTTTTAGGTGAATAAAGTACAAAAACAATGAATGGGAGGACTTGCCACAGGATCAGCAAAGACCAAGAAGGTAACCAGCTCTACTTTACCCCCATTCACTAATATTACACTATCACTTACTTATAAAGAAAAGGAAAGATTAGATGATGTTGAACATTATAATATACCGAAAAAGTTCATTTCTCTGATATGGGTTGGGTTAGGCCAAGAGGTTTAAATCTACAAGTAGAAGATTACAAATCTCTTAGAAAGTAAATAAATACATGTCTTGATTTTATAGGGAAAGGAGAAATGTTAAGCTACTCATCTCTACTCTTGGAAAGATCACTTAAGGTAATGTATAAAAATGCATGGAATAATATAAAACTGAAAACAGGGCCAAAGTAGTATCATGATTATAACTCATTAAACATATGTACACCATGAGAACCATAGTTACCACAGCTGTATGGTATATTTGAAAGTTCCTAAGAGTAAATCCTGAAAGTTCTCATCACAAGAAAAAATAATTCTTTCGGTATATGAGGTGATGGATGTTAACGAGACCTGTTATGGTAATCACTTAATAATCTACGTCTAGTCATAATCTATACTCCTCAAACTACTGTAGAGTGCTGTATGTCAATCATTTCTCAATAAAAATTTTTAAAAATAGGTATTAAATTAGTGTTTACAGGCAAAAGAAAGAAGGGAGGGAGGAAGGCACTGTATTTAGCAAGGCGACTCTGTTCCTACTGGGAAAAGATAACCGGAATCAGATATAAATGACTTTTGTATATCCATACTTCTACTCTCATCCATTAACACAGATAATCACAAAATTATATCATTAAGTAAATACAAGTACATTTCAGTAAATCGTTTTCAAGTCCTACATAAAGGCAAAAGTGGTATTTTAGTAGTAGATGGCATTTCATTAATGCAGTCTGGGAAAAATTAAGTTACTCTATGGAATCAGTTAACTGAAGTTCTTGATAGCATCACAAATAGTTCTCAAACTGTCTCATGGTCAGTTAGCGAGAGGGCCTGGTAAGCCGTGATCACTGTGCCTCACCAACAGAGCCCCTGATTCAGTGCTGGTCCGTGGTGGGGCCTGAGCGCGGAGGTGCACTTCTAACGAGAACTCGGGTGATTGAAGCTGCTGTTCTGGGAACCACACGTTAAGAACCAGCTGGCTTGGTGGAAAATATAGGGTCCAAACCAGAAAAGCTGGGTTCCAGTCTTGGTACTGATGTTAACTAGTAGTGGGTAGTGGGGGATGGTGCTGTTTATTTTACCTCTGTACCTTTCCTTGAGAAGAGGTTGTATCTGCCCTTTCTACCTCACAGTTTCTCAGAAAAATGAAAATATAATGACATATGTTGAAAGTAATTTAAAAAAGGAATTTCAGGATAATATAGCCACATGGTATTTGAAAGAGTCCTATGTAACCAGGGGAAGATGGTTTTAAAAACCAAAGCTAAAAATATTTATTGATTCATGTACCATTGTATTATACTTAAAAATATATCTATTTTCCAAGGCAATGGATGCTTTCTATTTAGCTCATTCCTGGCTAACTTACACATAGAGCTGGAAAGTTTTTCTTTGACCATTACCAGACTTTTCTGTTCACTTAATTACCCTATTTACTGGGATCTTTTACCTAAAGCCTTTTATTAGTTTTCAAATTGGTGTAAGATATTAACCTTGAAGTTGCCCCCTGCTACCAGTAGATATTTTGTAGCAAAACCAGACAGGGCATTTAGAATTAATAGATTGGAGTGTGATTAATTTTCAGGATTTCATTTAATTTTATTAAAATCTACCAAACTGCTTCTTAAATAAAACCATCCAGTTCCATACACAATGGTGATGAGTCTAGAAAATAGCTGAATTTAAACAAGATTTTACTAAAAAGGGGTGGTCATTTTTAGCAAACTCATTAGGAAAGTGTCTTTAAAAAGAGTCATTAAACCTACATCTCATAGCACTGTGTTTTGGGATTGCATTGGCTTACTTTGGGCAGCAGAGTAATTCACTGAAGTTGCAGTAACAGGTCATCTCACATCCCTTCCCATCCCAGAAATGATCCTGGACATTTGCATCAGTCTTGGTCAGGTCAGCTACTCCTTCTGGAAGGTTGTGACAATTACGATCTTTTAGTATTTTTCTGTAGCAGGAGAGGCGAGTGGCAGGCATGGCTTGGACTCCCAGCAGCAAAGTTAGTCCCATGGTCACAGCAAGTACTGTACATTTCATTTTGGCTTAGGTCCTGAGATAGAAGAAAAACCAAAATATGTCAGCTTTTTTTTTTTAAAGATGGAATTTACCTAAAGGTAAAGTTCAGTAGCATTTTCATAAACACTTGGCTAGGAAGAAGGGAATTGATTTTTTTCTATTCTCCTCTTTGTATTTCTCTAAATGTAGTTTTAGGACCATCTACAATAAAAGTCACTTCCAACATTCGTTAAAAATTAAATGTCTGGGCTCTACAAAGAAATACTGAGTGAGCAATGCTGAGGAGGGCGGGCAGGAGGTAGTTCTAAGAGCCAGAATCTGCATTTTAAGTACCCAAAGTAATTTTTGTTGTACATTCAGTAGAGAAAAACTACTTTTTAAGTTGGTAAAATACAGGTAAGTTTCTAGAACTAATAACATCATCAAGTACCGCTCTTCTTAATCTTGCATCTCTAAGCGGTCGCGCTGTCCAAGAACTCGGGTCCCACTCTGCAGACACAGAGATCAGGATCCTGCCATTGACAGATGATATTCTGTAGATATATTTAGAGTTCAATTAACTTTATAAAACATTCCAAAATTATTTTGGGAACCCATTTTTGTTGCAAATTTTTAGTAATATTGTAAACTTTTGTCCCACATAGATTACTTCATCTTAACCACAGTTGAAAACTGATGCTTGAATTCCCCTCCGATAAACATCTAGCCTGTTCTTGAACATCTACCATGATGGGGAACTCATCACTGACTAAGTCAACATATTCCACCAATACAGTTCTAAGTTTCCCTTACTATAAAATAGTCTCCTCTAGCTTCTACTCACCAATCCGAGTTTGAACTCTTGGGGTCATACCAAACAAATCTAACCCCTCTTCCAGGAAATAACTCTTTAAGTACAGCATTTGCATCCAACTATGGGATGTTTATCATCTACTTAATCAGGCTTCTCTGACTTCCATATTGAACATGAAAAAGACTGGAAGCTATTGGAGTAAAGGAACACTCATAAAATAGTGGAGGAGCCAGAATCCAAATCTACAGCCATTCAGAGTTCATCTTGTTGACAGTTGCCAAAATATCTTTCCTCCCATGAAGTATGAAAAAGTGGGGAAGACAGATATGTATATTGTACTTTGAAGTTTTCAGTAAGCTAATGGATTTTTTGAAAGGACAATTATTTCAGAGCAGTTTTTTGTTTATAATAAAGTTGAAAGGAAGGCACAGATTTCCCAAATGCCCTCTGCCTCAAACATGCGTGACCTCCTAGATTACCAGCATCATTCACCAAAATGGCATATTGTTTACCAAGGATGAACCTACACTGCCACATGATAATCAACCAGAGTCCATAGTTTACCTTAGGGTTCATGCTTAGTGTTGCACACTCTTTGGGTTGGACAAACGTATGGCATATATCCACCCCCATAATATCATGCAGAGTATTTTCACTGCCCTAAAAATCCTCTGTGCTGTGCTGATATATCTCTCCCTCCCCAATCCCTGTAAACTACTGATTCTTTTTATTGTCTCTATAGTTTTGCCTTTTCCAGAATGTCATAGAGTTGGAATCATACAATAGGTAGACTTTTCAGATTGGCTTCTTTCACTTAGTAGTGTACATTTGAGGTTCTTCCATGTCTTTTCATGGCTTGATCACTCATTTCTTTTAGTGCTTAATAATATTCCATTATCTGGATGTACCACAGTTTACTTATCCATTCACTTACAAAAAGACATCTTAAATGCCACCAAGTTTTCCACTGATGAATAAAGCCTCAAGAAACATTCAGGTACAGGTTTTTATATGGACATAGTTTTTAACTCCTATAGGTAAATACCAAGAAGCATAGATTATATAAGAGTATGTTTAGTTTTGTAGGAAACTACCAAAATGTCTTCCAAAGTAGTTGTACCATTTTGCATTCCAGGAATGTTTGAGGTCCACATCCTCACCAGCATTTGGTGTTGTCAGTGTTCTGGATTTTGGCCATTCTAATAGGTGTGTAGTATTCCCTCCTTGTTTTAATTTGCATTTCCCTGATGACATATGATGTGGAGCATCTTTTCATATGCTAAACTGCTGTCTGTGCATCTACTTCAGTGAGGTGCCTGTTAAGGTCTTTGGCCTAATTTTTAAATCAGGTTGTTTGTTTTCTTCTTGTTGAGTTTTAAGAATTATTTGTGTATTTTGGATAGCAGTCCTTTATCAGATGTGTCTTCTACCAATATTTTCTCCTAGTCTGTGGCTTTTCTTCAAATTCTCTTAGTATTTTCTTTCACAGAGTGGAAGTTTTTAATTTTAATAAAGTCTAGCTTATCAGTTATTTTTCTCACAGATCATGTCTTTGGTGTTGTATCTAAAAAGTCATCACCATACCCAAGGTCATCTAGATTTTCTCTTAGGTTATCTTCTAAGAGTTCTATAGGTCTGCATTTTATATTTAGGTCTATGATCCATTTTGAGATAACTTTTGTGAAGAGTAAATCCTCTGTTTAGATTCATTCTGTAGCATGTGGCTTTCCAGTTGTTCTACACCATTTGTTGAAGAGACTATCTTTACCCATTGTATTGCTTTTAATTCTTTTGTCACAGATCAGTTGACTATATTTATGGGGTTCTGTTTTTGAGCTCTGTATTCTGTTCTATAATATCTGTCTATTCTTTTACCAATACCACACTTGTTGATCATTATAGCTTTATAGTAATTCTTGACATAGGGCAGCATCAGTCCTCCAAGTTTGTCTTCTCCTTCAATATTGTATTGACTATTCTGGGTCTTTTGCCCCTCCCTGTAAACTTTAGAATCAGTTTGTCAATATTCACAGACAGTTTATGGGATTTTAATTGGAACTGCATTGAATCTATAGATCAAGTTAGCAAGAACTGACATCTTGACAAGATTGAGCCTTCCTATCCATGAACATAGGATATGTCTCCATTTATTTAGTCTTCTTTGATTTCATTTAACAGAGTTTTATAATTTTTCTTATATATACACATTGGTATATTTATACCTAAGTACTTCATTTTGGGGGCTACTAATGTAAATAAATGGTATTTTGTTTTCAATTTCAAATTCCACTTGCTTATTGGTGATATGTAGGAAAGCAAT